CAAGTGAATTTCACACTGAGAAAAAAAGTCTTATAATAGCTATCAAATGTACTTTGTTTAGCGTTTAGTGTATGGTGCAATATTTAATAATATTAAACATAATGTAAGTAACCAATTGCTACTATCATTGCTATTTAATAATTTCTTAATATTTAAAAAAGAATATAGTTGATTTAACGCTAACTTTTCTTATATCAAACATTTAATCGAAATTATTTCAAAGTATTTAGTAATTACCATTTACATTTTATTTATTATTAGCAAACATTTTTTTCATTGTGTAAAAATTAGCGAAGAATCTATAAATATGCTATTGCTTGAGGTGTATACATTTTTTAATTAATTGCCAACAAGTGAGAACGAGAGTAAGCATAAGCTATGAGTTTCTCTACAAGAAAGCGTAAAGTTGTGTTTAACGTTTAATGCCAAACATCTCTCAAAGCAATTTCGTGCAAACTAGACGAAATTATCTAATAACATAGTATCGGTTGCATACTCACTGCTCCTTGGCGTTTCCGTTGTTCAGTACACCATTCGACAGAATGAAAAGTAAACTGATAACAATCCTCTGAAACACAAAATTGAGATCGTTACACTTAGACTATTCATACATGTATTTTGAATTAATTGATGATGTTGAGATTATGATTTCATTATACTAAAGTATCTATAACGATCTCTTGTTGATTTAAAATCGCAAACTTGATGCACGCACACATAACTCTTAATGGCATAATATTCAAATCACTAATTATGGGATTCAAAAAGCGTATAGAAGTCGAGATATTTTGAAATTTTTCACTTGCATTTTTAAACTGAATTATTCATAATAAAAGTCATATTTGTAATATTTATATATATCGTTTCTTAATATCGTGTTGACTTTATATGTTATTAATATTATTATTATATTACCATTGTCGAATCGCGTATTCGTCGTAAACGCGACTGTAAACGCGATTGTTGACAGTCAATTACTGTTTGATATCACTAACAGTGAATCGTCATTTATATGCTATTTTCTTTTCATTGAAGCGAATCTTGTAAAGCGACAATACCATGACGCAGTTCACGGCTGATGGTCACTTTCGCTGTATCTTTTTGGTGATACGCTTCATCTGTCGATCCATGACTAATATGACTTTAGAAATTATAGAGTCAGTAAACTATAAAGATAGTCTGGCCAAGTTCAATGTCATGGCAAAATTATTTGTTTTGCCAGACACTTTAATAAATAAATATTATATTATTTTTTAATCTTTTCAAATTTTTTAATACACAAGAAACTTTAATTTGTTATTACATAACAATTAAGA